GAGCAGCCGAGGCGCTCGACGGCGGAGGCGGAGGCGGCGGCGGGTTGGAATGGAGCGGCTGGAGCGGCTGGCGAGGGAGGTGGAGGCGCTGCAGCGCGAGGCGCCGCGGGCGCGGGAGGCGGCGGCGCGCGCGGCGGAGGAGGCGGCTGCCCGTCAGGCGGCAGCGGTGGAGAAGTGCATGCATGAGCGGCTGCAGGAGGCCCTCGCTTCGAGTGACCTCGCTTCGGCGCCCCGCGAGGCGGAGCTGGCGGCGCAGAGGGAGGAGGTGCGCGCGTTTGCGTCGGCGACCGAGCGGTCGGTGGCGTCGCTGGCGGCGGCGCTCGAGGAGCAGGCGTCGCTCATCAGCGGCCGGCTCGCGGCTCTCGAGGCCGAGCAAGAGGCCGCCGCATCACACGCGCGCGAGCGGGACGCCGAGCAGCGCGCGGCGGTGTCAGCAGCCGAGCGGGAGGGTGCGGCTGCGGCGGCGGCGCACAAGGCGGCGGTGGCGGAGGTGCGCGAGGAGGTGCGTCGCGTGGCGAGCACCGAGGCGTCGCTGCACCGCGCCGCGGACGCGCGCGCCCAGGCGGCGGAGGAGGAGGCCGCCGCGTCGAACCGCCGGCTGATTGCGCTTGAGGAGGCGGTGGCGACGGCGCTGCCGCGGAGCGAGGCGGCGGCGGCGGCGGCGGCGGAGGCTGCGGGCCGCGCGTCGAGCCTCGAGGCCTCTCTCGCCGCGTTGTCTCCGCGTGTGGCTGCGGATGAGGCTGCGCGCGCGGCGCTCGAAGGCGCGGTGCGGGAGCTGGCGGCGGCGGTGGAGGCGGTGCACCACAAGGCGGTCGGCGCTTGCTCCGAGCTGCGCAGCGAACTCGAGCCGCGGCTCGCTGCAGCAGAGCAGCGGCTGGAGGCCACGGAGGCGGAGCTGCAGGCTGTCGCAGACGAGGCGCAGGGCGCGGCCGCCAGCGCGGCGCGCGGCGCGGCGCAGGCGAGCCAGGCGCAGGAGGCGGCGGCGAGGCGCATCGGAGCCGTCGAGGCGGCGGCGACGGCTCAGGCGGCGGCGCTCGAGGCGATCCATGCGGAGTGGCTGCCCGAGATGGCGCCGCGGGCGGCGGTCGAGGAGCTGCGCGCGCGGCTGGAGCGGTGCGCGCTGCGAGAAGAGGTCGGCGAGGCGGCCGAGCGTGCTATCTCCGCGGCGCGCCACCCGCTAGCCCCCTCCCCAGGCACTCCTCCTGCTAGAGCACTTTCTAGAAGGGTGTCGTAGGGCAGAGAGAGCCGAGAGGTTCCAGAGAGCCGAGGGGGAGAGGGGTGGGGGGGAGAGAACCTGAGACAGGCCCTCGCGTGAGTCGCGCGCCGTGAGTCTCTCCGGCGGTGGTAGGCGCGCCTCGACGCGATGCGCGGCACTCACCGCGCCATGGAGGCGGGGCTGCACGTCCTCGGCGCCGACCTCGCCGAGTACGCGCAGATCGCGCCGCACGGCGGAGACCCGATCGCGCCCAGCCGCCGCCAGAGCTTCGGTACACCCCCCCGGGGCGCTCCCCCGACCGACGCGCTCGCCGATGGCGCCGAGTGGGGCAGCTGGCCGCCGAGCGGACCTTCGGGCGCGCGCGTCGCTGTGGCGGCTTGCGCCGCGCACCGCTCCACTGCTCCGTGGCCGCCCTCGCCGGGCTTGGTCTCGCCGCCCGACCCGCACTCGCCTCCACCGCCGCCGCCACAGCCGCCGCAGCCGCAGCCGCCGCAGCCGCCGCAGCAGCCACCGCAGCCGCAGCCGCCGCAGCAGCCGCCGCAGCAGCCGCAGCAGCCGCCGCAGCAGCAGCCGCAGCCGGCAAGGCACGCCAGCCTCCCTGGACGCCTCGAGCCGCGGACTCCGCCTTCTGCGGTGGGGCCTCGAGGGCGCCAGGGCGGCGTGGCTCCGTTTGCCTCGTCGCCGCTCTCCCCCCACCACCTCTCCCCCCACCACCTCTCCCCCCACCACTCGCCGCCTGCCGGCGAGCTCGCGGCGGCTGCATCGTCCGCGAGCGCAGCTGCTCCGCCGCACGTGGCGCCGCCGGCGCACGCGGCGCAGCTCTCGCACAGTCACGCGCCGCACGAGCAGCGCCACTGCGGCCACTTCGCCGGCGGCTGTGGGGACGCGCCAGAGCATGCGAGCTCTGCGTCTGTGGGCGAGGCGAGCGCCGGGCCTTCCTCGCCGTGCGTGGAGCAGCGGTCCCCGCCCCAGCGGTTCGCGCCGCCCGACTCTCAGGCGCCGGCGCCGGGGGAGAGGGCCGCGGACGCAGAAGGCAGCTATGGCGCGCTGCACGCGCGCGTCGAGGAGCAGCTGGCGCGCTGCTCCGCCTTGCTCGGCTCCCAGCCCAAGGGAGATGCCGAGTGCTGATTGCCGGGCTGGTGGCTCGTGAGCGTTGACGCCGGCGTGCTTTTGCGAGCAGACAAGGGCGTGCAGGGAACGTGCTCTGCACAGGCCGCGGGGGCTGGAGAGTGAGGCGGGTGGGATCCGTAAGTGCATGCGTGCTTAGCTGTGGCTTAGGGAGAGCTCTTTACGTACCTGAAGCAATCAAGCTCCCGAGATAAAAAAGAAACTTTGCTTTGCTCACAACGCAAACCACCACATATATGGACCTGCACAGGATATGTGCCCGAGCGTTCCGAGGCGCGACTCGCTTCACCTTCAGCCTTCACCCTCCGACGCTCCACCCGCCGGCCTGTGTGTGTTCCAGCCCCGCGCACCGCTCACGCATTGCACAGTTGACACTCCCCCCCCCTCGGCCGGCCCGCCGGACACACACAGATCAGACGCGGGCTGGTAGCTTGAACATGGCGAAGGAGCGCACGTGTGCAGCCTCGAGTTCGTGCGCCAGGGCTTCGAGGTCTTTGGCCGTCGTGAGGGGCGCGCCCGGCCCCTCGCCCAGCACCTCCTTGATTCGCTTGCCCTCGTACACCTGGAGCGTGCCCGGCGTCTCGCCCTGCGGGTAGTGGAGCACCCGCCCCACGTGGTCGAACCGGATCATCACCTCGACGAGGGTCTCCACGTCCTTGCTCCCCTTGACCTGCATGTACGCCTCGCGCAGGCCGTCGCGCGCGCTGAGCGCCCTCGCGAGGAGCCGCTTCAGGTAGCTCGGCAGGTGCACCTTGGTCCCGACCTCGTCGACCGCCTTCTCCACCAGCATCGGCATCGACAGCTCGAGCACCTCGTTCAGATAACCCAGGCAGCCCGGCAGCCGCGGCACCACGTCGACGCCGTACACGACGTTGACTGCGTTGGCGTTGAGGTCGGCGAGGATCGCGTGCGACTCGCCGTGCACGTCCGGGTCGAGCTGCGCGAGCGAGGGCTCCGAGAGAATGGTCATCGGTGCGGCGAAGCCGAGGGTGGAGACGTGCACGCCGCGGTCGAGCTGGTTCCACGGCGCCGCGCCCTGCTCAATCTGGCCGCGCACGAAGAGGTGGCCGACGTGCGCGAGTCCCCCCGCGAGGGAGTGGCCGGTCAAGATCATCCGCTGCACCTTGTGCTCCAGCATCAGGGAGACGATTCTGCCTTCGTGGGCGGCGAGGTCGTTCTCGCAGAGCGAGACGTATGCGCCGTGCGCTCGGATCGGGCTCTTCCCGTCCCTGGACCAGCGGCGGGAGACGACTGGCGTCGCGTCGACGTCGGAGACCCAGTCCATGATCGTGTGCGAACCGCGCCAGAGGAGCAGCATCGTGGAGACGCCGCCCATCTGCACGACGGCGTAGCCAAACGGCGGCAGCGAGACGTCGAGGACGCCGTGCACCTCCAACGTCGCGGAGGCCCACTGGATACTCTCGACGTGGGCCTCGATCGGAGCGAAGAGGACGCGTGCGTCCGCTGCGGCGGTGTCAAGCTCGTACATCGACGCCACCATTGTGGCGCAGGCCTCGACCACCTCCCTTGTGAGCGGCTTGACAGCCTCGGCGAGGGTGACCGGCACGGCCGGCGATGCGGCAGGAGCGAGCTCGCGGCTCGCTGGCGAAACGGCCTTGCCGAGGAAGCTTGCGATCTCCCTCTGCTTGCGAGCCACCTCTGGCTCCACGCCATCGCCATGATCGACTTCGATGACGTCGCTCGGCGACTCTGGGCGAGGGCTCTTTGGGCCCTGGAATCTGGCTCTGAGGAACGCAATCGGCGACGAGAGCGGGGACGAACTGAGGCTTCGCTTGCCCGGAGCCACCGTTACGGCGAGCTTGTTGCTCCTTCCCTGAGGCATGGTAGTAATGGCGCGCGAAATGACAGGAACTAGAGCAAATGGGGGGGGCGGACTTCAGCTGGGTCCTTTTCTGTGGCTCTTTCTTTTCTTTGGGAGGCGGATTCTTTCTTGCGGAAGTCGTCTGCGCCCCTTCACTGTCGTTAATCGTCAAGGAGAGAGAAACATGGAAGCTGCCTCTCTCACAGCGGCACACTGGCACAACAAGGGTGTGGACTGGCGCACCCTTTTCCACTAGTACACTAATCGGCACACCACCGGAGCCGAGGCCAGCAAGCTGAAAATTCCGACGAGAAAATTCTTTCTGCGCCAGGGGACAAGACGCGGCGGCTGCGCGTCAGGCATGCGGCTGCTGGGACCTGCGCTGGCTTGCTGGTGCGTGTCGAGCGTGTCGGCGAGCGGCTACCGGTTCGATGCCATCCAGTCGAAGCGGGGCGTTCAGCACGCCGACATCCAGCCGCTTCTGTCGGATAACGCCGTCGTCGGGCTGATCATGATGCTGTTCCTCGTGCTCTTTTGCTTCGGCAAGCAGTAGTAGGGGTGCGGCGCGCACCGGCGCGCGTAGCACCAAATCGCATTGTGTCGCCTTGGTCACGTACTACGACTCGAGCAGATGCGTCAGCGCGGGGCGCAGGCGAGCGCCGCCTGGGGACCTTAGCCGGCGAGGCAGTTTGGATCGCCGACCACGCATCCGGCGGAGCGTGTGGCGAGGGCAGAGAGAAAAGGTTGCATCTGCGATCTGGTTGTGTGCGCGCGCACCCTGACCCTCCATGATCTCTTCCTTCTTGGTAACGGCCAATGCCGGCGGATTGGGGGTTTTTGCGTTTCGTCTGAGCTCCCCAGCTCGGCTGACGGCTCCTTTCTACTGTACATACACAGATCACAGAAAATGCTATGTGGTCCATGCGCCCAGCGAGAGGAGAGACCCGGCCGTGAGGCCCGAGTTGAGGGCGAGCACGAGGAGCGCGCCGGCGGCAGGGCGGTCTCGCTCCTCCACCGCGCGCGGCGCTCGCACAAAGATGGCGGTGGTGAGCCAGCCGTTGGAGAGGGCAAACAAGTGCAGCGCCAGCGCCGGCAACGCGTCCGAATGCGCGCGCGCCGCCTCGCTTCGCCGGAAGGCGACGAAGAGTGGCGCGAACAGCAGCCGGCCCGCGGCGAAGAGGAGGAGGCTGCGCGACTCGCGCGGAATGCAAAAGGGAAAGGCGCGGCCGAGCATGTCGCCCGCGTTGAAGTTGAGGAAGGAGAGCGGGACGTAGAGGGCCCTACACTCGCCAGATGTAGCCGAAGTGTGGCCGAGGTGTGGCCGAGGTGTGGGCGAGGTGTGGCCGGGATCTAGCGGCGCCTCCACTCGCACGAGGAGGGGGCTGCTTCGCTCGCGCGGATGGCCGAGGTGAGGGTGGGGAAGACGAAAAGAGTGACGCCAAAGCAGAGGAAGAGGGCCGCCTCCCACCCCAGCAGCGCCCTTGCCAGCCGCAGCAACGCCACCACAGGCCCGCTGCCGCCCTCGCCCTCGCCGCCGCCGCCGCCGCTGCCACCCTTGGCGCCGCCCTCCGGTCCACGCGGTCTATGCCGCGCGTCGAGGGCGACGAAGGCTGCGGCGCAGCAGGCTGCGACGGCGCAAGACGCGCCAAAGTACAAGGCCGCGCCCACCAGCGCGCCACGCCCGCCCGCGCCGCCGTCGTCCTCCGTCTCGCCGGCGGAGCCGGCGCAGCGGCGGCGGGCGGCGGCGGCCTCGCGCGCGAGGTTGATGAGCGAGACGACCACCCCTGCGGCGGCCTGCCCGCTGCTGAGCGCCGACATTTGCTGCGGCGCAAACGCGGTCGCGTACCCCGCCAGCGACGCCGTGAGCACCGCCTGGCTGACGCTCGCGCCGGCCGCAGAGGAAAGGAGCAGCGCGGCGCTGGCGGCCGGGCTCGGCGCGCTGCCGCTGCCGTGGAGCAGCGGCCACAGCGCCAGCAGACAGGCGCCGCCGAACGCGACGCCGATGGCGCCGAGCGAGACCAGGACGCGGCGGCGCGCTGTGACGAGGTGGAGGAGTGGCTGCAGCGCGAGGATCGAGACGAGGCCGACGAGCGTGAAGGCGCTGGTGAGGGTTGGAAGGAAGGTGTCCTCCCAGCGCGTCCCCTCGAAGAGCAGGGCGTAGAAGCCGGTTGGCGTGATGAAGGCGTTCCAGGCCCACAGGCTTCCCACGCCTAGTGCGAAGAAGGCTGGCACAGACCAATGTTCGCCGGGTCGCTCGCCGCTCGCGGAGGAGGGGGCGCTCGAGCTAGTGCTGTCCTCGGCGAGAGGAGCGAGCTCCGCGGTGCTGTGCCCTTTCGGCATGGACGGCGCGATTTCTTTTTCTATGTTCGGTGTGATCTGCACATGAAAGCAAATTGCGCCAGTCCGCGCCCTTGACACACCAGGGCCGGGGAGCTAATAAGAAGCGCAAGCACGTGATCCCGAAATACATTTTTCCTCATCAAGCCCAAATCGCGCTGCAGGCCCAAATGTTGGTTCTTGAGCACTTGTGACTTGAGCACTGGATAGGGTCGATTCCGCATGGAACGGGACCCCTCGATCGTCTCGCCCTCCCTCGCTGTCGGAGGTGTGTTCATCAAAACAAAACGGAATGAATGCAATCAACCTGGCAACCCTGTCTGCACGTCTCGCGCGCGCGTGAACAGGGCTCCAGGCCTCAAATGACGTGTGAGTGCTAGACTTGTTTGGTATTGCTAAAAATCTCTCTCTCAAAAGCAACACACTATCTCAAAAAAAACGAGCGAGCCACATACACGAACGATGAATGAACAACTCTAACACTCACACCTCATTTGGGGCCTGGAGCCCTGTTCACGCGCGCGCGAGACGTGTAGACAGGGTTGCCAGGTTGATTGCGTTCATTCAGTTTTGTTTTGATGAACACACCTCCGACAGCGAGGAGGGCGAGACGATCGAGGGGT